ATGATAGAAAATTAATTCTTCAGATTTTTGTCCAAGTCTTTCGCTCCTAGTACATTAATGCAGCTCTCTTATGGAATGCTGGTTGTTATTCTTGTCCTCGCCTTCTCCTATGTAACGAAAATAATTTATAATCTTGCTTCTTCCGTTATTTCTTCCTTGATTATTCAGAATTAGGTCGATTCTAGTCATTTGGTCGTTGTGTCATTTGTGCACGATGATACTTATCCATTTTTATAATTTCGGTTTAGCCCAAAGAAAAATTACTTCCTTGAGGTCATTTTTCCGCAAACAACTTGTCTCATTTGATTTTTATAAATTGATCGGTTGTAGGTTCGAATCTATTTGAGAAGAAGTTTGATCGTTTTTCAGACATTCATAGTAACATTTGAATTTTGTAAAGGCAATTTAAAATAATTGAGAAGATCAAAATGTGATCCAAATAACTTTGTGATGTATCTTTCTAGGAAGAATCTTGTGAGTTGGAGAAGGAAATTGGATCTATCCAATTCGGACCTCTTTTCTCCATGACAAGATTTGTGGCATCTAGTTCCCAAATGAAAATGGAGAGCCACAAACAACAATAGGATAGAATTTTGTAATCACGCGGCTTACACGTGCTAATAAAAAGGGTTTTTTTTTTGGTAGTTGTTCGCTTATCCTATGTTTGGTGTAGCTTAAAAAGTTGATAAGAATTTAAGTCGAAGTCAACAATTAGTTTTAACCTCACATTTTATGGAATTCACAACTGTTCTACCACACATTTTATCAACTTTTATCAAAATTTATTAAAAATTGATTTTTCGCTACATCAAACAATGGCTTAAGCTTGAAAAATAAAAGAGAAGTGAGATGACGAGCCCAACACAACGCCTTTTGTAATTTTCTAATATGTTATCTTTTAATTGAACTATCGAGTAAAACTTTAATAGCAAACTAATCATTCTCAATGTCAAATCCTCTCTTGTGAGCGTTTATCTTGTTACGTAACTTTTAATTATTTGTTCTTTTTTTATTTCCTAAAGAAAATGGTAATTGGTTTTTAAATTTGTTCGTGCAATAGCTAATAAAGTTATTGTCATTTTAAGGTCTTACGTATGAAGAATGTTGCAAATATCATAAATTAATGAGGTCCCCATAGAACATTATCCTCTTGGCCTTTTGCCATGTATATTTGGCATTATTATGAGGTATATATACACATATTGCCGACACACATAAACAACTTCGTTTCATTACAATGTTTTTGAAAACTTCGAAGTTGCTTATAGAACTAAGAATATACTTTTGAATATATTTGAATAATTTTTTTAGAGGAACCTGGTTTAAGATAACTATTACAAGAAGTTTTTCTAAAAGAAGTAAATTTTTTGCAAAAACAGACTGTTTGTTGTTTAATATGCTTGTATTATAATCCGAGAGAAGATAAAGGTTTTAAATTCATCTAATAAATGAGACAAAGATGTAAATGCGACAAAGTTGTTGGGGCTTCCTTTTCAGGTGAAGGTTTTCAAGTTTTTTATTTGCTACAAGATGAAATTTAAGATATTCTTATAAAAGACCCTTTTCTAAAAATAATTTTTTTTAAAAAAATACAACTCATTAGGTGTCAAGTAGTGTACTCGATCAAGAGTAGACCCAAAAAAAAATAAAATTAGAAGAGTGGCATTCTTTTCACATTGATCCTAATGAAATGGCCTTC